CTCGTCAGGGCATGGCCCCTGCGATGCCTCGAAGGTGCACCGCGCTCTGATTCCTCCCCCACCCCACACACATGCAGACCGAGGGAGCGCCAATGTCAACTGAAGGGTTATGCCTCCTGCAACGGTGGCAGACGCTTCTTCCCGTTTGCCATGCAACGTCCAAATCCGCTCACATCCCCTGATGAACAACTGCATGGCATCTGACTGATGGGTACACCGTATACACACATTTATGATACATGTGGGCGCACGCGCACGCGCACATGCACGTCCACGCGTGCATGCATACAACATGCGTGTGGAGCATTCAAACGCATTTTTGCCAACGGCGATTGCGTCAATTCAACGGCGCAAAGAGTCCCCCAAGCGCGACGCACGCGCGCGCACACACACACACACACACACACACACACGCAAACACACACACACACACACACACATACGCACCCACCACATTTTTTACATTTTTCCAGATGCAACGTCCAAATCTGAAGTTGTCAGCATGCCCTCTTCGCCTGCAGCCCCCATCGCTAGACCTCTAGGGGGCAGGGAGCGCGGGGGGATCGCGGTGGGCGTGGGGGGCGGCGCGTGTGCGGGCAGGGGGGATGGGGGGGAAACGCATGGTGGGCCGACTCCGAGGCGTGGCGCGCGGGCGGGCGGCGGCGGGGGCGCGGGGGCGGGTGCCACGGCGGGGGAAGGGGGTGGGGGGGCGGCGCGGGGGGGGGGGAGGCGGGGTGCAGGGGGGGTGCACTTAAGCGCGCGTGGCCATTCGCCGCGGCCGCGGCCTCTCTGCCCTTTGGCGGCGCCTCACCACCGAAACGTTAAACGACATCAAACGACATTAAACAACATTAAACAACATTAAACAACATTAAACAACATTAAACAACATTAAACAACATTAAACAACATCAAACAACATTAAACGACATTAAACAACATTAAACAACATTAAACAACATTAAACAACATTAAACAACATTAAACAACATTAAACAACATCAAACAACATTAAACGACATCAACGACATCACACGACATCAAACGACATCAAACGACATCAAACGACATTAAACGACATCAAACGACATTAAACGACATAATACATATTCGACATCAAACAACATTAAACGACATCATTCGACATTAAACAACATCATTCGACATTAAACAACATCATTCGACATTAAACAACATTACACAACATTAAACGACATTAAACGACATTAAACAACATTAAACGACAACAAACAACATTAAACGACATCAAACAACATTAAACGACATCAAACAACATTAAACGACATCAAACGACATTAAACGACATCATTCGACATTAAACAACATCATTCGACATTAAACAACATCAAACGACATTAAACGACATCAAACGACATTAAACGACATCAAACGACATTAAACGACATTAAACGACATTAAACGACATCAAACGACATCAAACGACATTAAACGACATCAAACGACATTAAACGACATTATACACATTCGACATTAAACAACATTAAACGACATCAAACGACAATAAACGACATCAAACGACATCAAACAACATTATTCGACATTAAACAACATCATTCGACATCAAACAACATTAAACGACATCAAACGACATTAAACGACATCAAACGACATTAAACAACATCAAACGACATTAAACGACATTAAACGACGTCACGACTTCAAACAACATTAAACGACATCAAACAACATCAAACGACATTAAACGACATCAAACGACATCAAACAACATTAAACGACATTACGGATAGACAACATCAAACGACATTAAACGACATTAAACAACATCATTCGACATCAAGCAACATTAAACAACATCAAACGACATCAAACGACATCATACCGCCTGAACCAGCGTTCACCTCACCTTTAAGGCACCGCCCCATGGCCCCGCATGCCCCCAGAGCCCCTTCAGCCCCCCCCCCCCCCCACTCCCGCCCACCCGCGCAGCCCCTCCCGCCCCTCGGCCCCCACCCCAATGGGTCCGCCCCTCGCATTCCCCACCCCCCCACCCACCCCTCCATCCACCACCCCGAGACAGGGGGCGGTCGCCCCCTGTCTCTAGTCCCCACCCCACGCATGCCCCATCCGCGCACCCCTCCCCACCACCTCCCACGCACGCCCCCCCATGGGGTTCATCCCTCCACCCCGCCCCACCGCACTCCCACCATGCCCCCCCGCCCCCCGCCCCAACCACCACCGCACCACCATGAGACCTCCCACCGCGGCCCCACACGCCATGGCCCATGTGCCAAGTATGAAGAGTGTGAGTAACACGGCCGCGGCAAAGTATGTCAGCCGCGCGTCGCGTCCAGCGTGCGCCGATCGCCTCGGCGCGGGGGGGGGAGCTGCTCCTCGCTGTTGCCTCCTGCTGCTGCTGTTGTTGCTGCTGCTGTTGCTGTTACCGTTGCTGCTGCTGGTGCTGCTCTGCTGCTCTACTAGCACGCACGCGGCACGCGCGCGTACACGCACGCATGCACACGCTCACGCCCGCGCGCACACCTTTTTTTGAGTCAGCGGCGCAGCGGGTATCCTCAGTCGCGTCAGCTCGAGGCGCAACTTGCCACGCACGCACGCACGCACGCACGCACGCACGCACACACACACACACACACACGCACGCACGCACGCACGCACGCACGCACGCACGCACGCACGCACGCACGCACGCAAGCACACACCCCCACACACACACAGACACACACACACACACACACACACACGCTGCACATACACATGCGCATGCCTACACCTCGCGTGACCGCGCGCGCACGTGCATACCCAACATGTTGGTATGTATGTAATGCACGTGCGCATGCACCGATGTGCGCGTTCACGCTATGCAGACACGCATGTATAAAAAGTTCCAGTAATGCATCCGACACATTGTATATGCCCGTGTGTATACCAATTCGTGTACACATCCTTGTGCAGTTGAATTAACCTGTATACCCGAACGCACGCACATGCCAAGGTAACACTCATCAGTGACATGTGAAATTGCAAGATGGGAAACATCACTGTGCACACTCATCCCGATCATGCCCTCTTCGCCTGCGGCACCACGCGTGTGCAAGTAGGATATCGCGATATCGACCACCTGACGTCCTTGAGTAAGTCGGCTGCGGGGAGCCCCGCAGGATTCTGGAAGGAGAGGGGCACGGCTCCATGGCTGGAGCTCATCCTCAAGCTTAGGGGCTCTTGCTTGGATGAGTCTCCTCTTGCTCCTTCTCATCTTAATCCTTCTTCTTCTCCTCCCTAGTCTTCCTCCGTCTCCTCGCCCTCATCCTCCTGATCCCCCCATTCTTATTCTCATCCTCATCCTCATCGATCCTCCTCCAATTTCTCCTTCCCCCTCCCTCCTCCTCTCCCCCTCCTCCTTCTGATGCTGACTCCCTCCTCCTCGAACTCACCCTCGTCGACCCTCGTCCTTCTTCTTCTCCTCCTCCTCCTCCTCCTCCTCCTGCTCCTCCTCTCCTCCTCCTCCTCATCCTCCTCCTCCGCCTCCTCATCGATCCTCGCCCTCATCCTCCTCGGGTCCTGTTCCTATATCCACCCCGATCCTACTCCTCCTCCTCCTCCACTTCCTCCTGCTCATTCTCGCCCTGCATGCTCCTCCTTGATCCTCCTCATCCTTTGATCATGCTGCTCGTCCCTCCTCCCGAAGAGCCTCATCCTCCTCCTGCTCCTGGATACTCGCCCTGTTCATCGACCTCGAGGCCTCTATATTCACCGCCTGCCCCCATGCCATTTTGATATCTGGCCCCAGGGGCCCGAACAACGCAAACCACGTTTTCTGGGCCCAGGGCCCTCGGGCTCGGAAAACATGAGAGGTGGAGGGGTGGCGATCGCGAACGTCGAACGTCAGCAGATTCAGGAGTGGAGGAGTGGAGGGGGCGTCGCGTTGTTCGGGCCCCTGCAAGCCCGAGGTATACCGGATGGGAGAAGGGAGGCCGCCCTCGCCTCGGCACCGATCGATCGTGTTTTCGGGACCCTTGGGCCAGACATAACTTGAGGGAGAGTGGGCGATCACACGTACGGTGTTCGGAATTCCCTGGGGTCGGGAAAACTATAGGGAGGGGGTCGCCCAGAACACGACTGACGCAGATCGGATACCTTAAGGTAGAACACGACTGAAGCAGGTGGAGGAAGGGCGATCGTTTTTCGGACGTCCGAAATCGGACGTCCGAAAAACGATCGCCCTTCCTCCACCCCTCATGTTTTCAGGGCCCAAGGGGTCCGAACAACGAATTGCCTCGTGCACATACAATACTTTCCCTGCATGCCTTCCCTTTGCAGCGCAGCGCAACGCAATATGATGTTGCTCTCCAGCTCGCGGCGCTGCTCACCTGGGCTGCAGCGGGTTTCTGCTCTCTCTCGCTCTCTTTTTTTGTTTCTCTCTCTCTCTCTCTCTCTCTCTCTCTCTCTCTCCACCCCCCATCTCTGTCTTACGATCTGTCTCGCCAGAAATCCTATTCGCTCCTCTATCGCTCTCTCTCTTTCTCTCTGTTCTCTCTTCCTGCATCCCCCCCCCTTCCCTTATCACAAATCCTAGTCGCCGCAAGTCGGCGCGGCGACCCATCTCGTCGACGAGATGGTCGATATCCACGATCTGGTGCCAGGCCTGGCGTCTTCCTCCTCCTCCTCTTACTCCTCCTCCCGAGCGTTCTTCCTCCCCTTCTTCCTCCTCCTTCGTGTTCTGTCTCCTCCTCCTCCTCCTCCTCCTACTACTCCTACTCCTCCCCCTCCTCCTCCTCCTCCTCCTCCTCTTCCTTCTCCTCCTCCTCCTCCTCCTCCTACTCCTCCCCCTCCCTCCTCGAGCTCCTCCATCCTCCTCCTCCTCCTCCTCCTCCTCCTCCTGCTCCTCCTACTCAACATCATCCTCCTCCTCCTCCTCCCACCGAGCCTGATCAATATTAGCTCAGCATCTCCTGGAACACCTGGCGCCTGATGGCCACCACCGCTAGTTTGTCGATGGTCTTCGCCTCGGCGACCTTACCGAAGATCTTCTCGATGATCAGGTCACTGATCTCGGAGGGCGCCCAGCCGACGAGGCGCTGCTGAAGGTGTGACGTGCTGTGGTCGCTCACCTGGACCAGCTGCAACCACTTGGCCTTGCTGGCCTGGTACTTGTAGGCGATCGTCGCCAGCTGCTCGGAATCCCTCCTCTTGATCTTCACCGTGATCTTCTCCCAGCTGAGCTGATCGTCCGAGGGCACTTCGAACTCCGCCGAGGTGGGCTGCTCGCCCTCGACCGCTGCCGCATCCTCGCCCTCATCTGCAGCTGGCGGCTCGACGATCTCCTCGACCTCACCTTCAGCTGGCGCCTCGACGATCTCCTCGACCTCACCTTCAGCTGGCGCCTCGACGATCTCCTCAAACTCGTCTTCAGCTGGCGCCTCGACGATCTCCTCAGGCTCGCCAGCTGGCGCCTCGACGATCTCCTCAGGCTCGCATTCGTCGACGGGCTGCTCTGCCTTGGTCTTGAGCTTGCCAACAACCGTGCTGCTCGAGCCCTTGCTGATCGAGCCCTTGCTGCTCGAGCCCTTGCTGTCGCCCTTGCTGCTCGAGCCCTTGCTGCCGCGACCCGCGCCCTTGCCTGTCTTGCCCTTGCCCTTGCCACTAGTCGAGCTCTTGCCCTTGCCCTTGCCCTTGCCGCCAGCGCCCTGGCTCGCTGTGACCAGCTCTGGGATCTGGCCTGACCACTCCTCCTCACTCGTCGACGGCTCATCCTTGGCAGCCTTGTCGACCTTGCGCTTCTTCTTGCGGCTCGAGCAGCTGGGGCGCGGCGGGCTTCGCTTGCCGAGCAAACTGCCAAGGAAGGCTATGTCTGCGACATGGCCTGGCGCCAGGCTGCTGGTGCCTGGCGCCAGGCTGCTGGTGCCTGGCTGGCTGCTGGTGCCTGGCTGGCTGCTGGTGCCTGGCCCGCTGGCTGGTGCCTGGCTGGCTGCTGGTGCCAGGCTGGCTGGTGCCTGGCTGGCTGGTGCCTGGCTGGTTGGTGCCTGGCTGGCTGGTGCCTGGCTGGCTGCTGGCGTCGTAGGTGCCTGGCTGTCTGCTGGCGGCGTAGGTGCCTGGCTGTCTGCTGGCGGCGTGGGTGCCTGGCTGTCTGCTGGCGGTGCCTGGCTGTCATCTGGTGCCTGGCTGTCTGCTGGTGCCTGGCTGTCTGCTGGTGGCACCTCGCTGAGTCCCGAACGTTCTCTCTCTCTCTCTCTCTCTCTCTCTCTGTCTCTCTCTCTCTCTCTCTCTCTCTCTCTCTCTCTCTCTCTCTCTCTCTCTCTCTCTCTCTCTCTCTCTCTCTCCCCCCCTCTCTCTCTATCTCTCCTTCTCTCTCTCTCTCTCTCTCTCTCTCGTTATTTCTCTCTCTCTCTCTCTCTCTATCGATCGAGCGAGCGAGCGAGAGAGAATAGAGAGGGATCTCCTCTCTCTCTCTCTCTCTCTCTCTCTCTCTCTCTCCTCTCTCTCTCCTCTCTCTCTCTCTCTCTCTCTCTCTCTCTCTCTCTCTCTCTCTCTCTCTCCGTGCCTCGATCCTCCTACTCCTCCTCCTCCTCCTCCTCCTCCTCCTCCTCCTCCTCCTCCTCCCCCTCCCCCTCCCCTCCCCCTCCCCCCTCCCTCCCCCATTCCTCCTCCTCCTCCTCCTCCTCATACCTCCTTACCCCCCTCCCCCTCCTCATCAGCATCATCATCATCATCATCATCATCATCATCATCATCATCATCAGCATCAGCATCAGCATCAGCATCAGCATCATCACCAGCATCAGCATCATCATCATCATCGTCATCGTCATCATCATCAGCAGCATCATCAGCAGCATCACCATCATCATGTTCATAATCATCATCATCATATTTATCAGCATCATCATCATCACCATCATCATCAACCTCATCATCAACATCATCATCAGCATCATCATCCACACCATCATAGCATCATCATCATCAGCAGCATCATCACCATCAGCATCATCAGCATCGTCATCATCATCATCATCATCATCACCATTATCATCATCAATATCAGCATCATCATCATCGTCATCATCATCATCACCACCACCATCATCACCATCATCAGCAGCAGCAGCACCCCCCCTCATCCCCCTCTTCCCCCTGCTCCTCCACCCCCTCGAGCCGCCTCCTCCTCCTCCTCCCTGATCCCCATCTTCCTCATCCATCTCCTCCTCCTCTTCCTCTTCCTCCTCCCCTTCCCCTCCTCCCCCCCTCCCTCCTCGTTTGCATGGGCCCAGGCCCAGAATCGCAGGAGAGCCCGACGAGCGAAGCGCGAGCATCTCCGCGCGATCGCTGGCTTCGAATAGTTGGAACAAACCATACCGCTCATGCCTGCTGATCGAGATTCCCCCCATCGATCAGGCCCCTACACATATGCGAGCAGGACGAGGGACATCATGAGCGAGAGAAGGGGAAAGTGGAGAAAAAGGAGAAAGAGACGGAGGAGACGGAGAACGAGAAGGCGGAGAAGGAGACCGAAACGGAACTTGAGGATAAGAAGGATGGAGAGAGTTGTTTGTCCCTCCTCTCTCCTCCAGCTGGTCCATCGCAGCCGCCATCATCGCGTGCATCTCTTCGTATGGCAGCTCGGGGATCTCGTTATCCTGCGGAGGGTGTTCCTCCTCCTCCTCCTCCTCATCCCCCTCGCGATTTTTCAGCTCGTTGAAGGGTTAGGGGCGCCTTTCCAGATTCCTGGCGCAATGCCAGACCACAGCATGTTTGGAAAACCGTGAGCTCACGCCGTCCAAGCATTATGTGCCACGGCATCGTCATGATCAGGAATTGGACCCCGAGTGGCCCTCATTCCCATCGTCTTTTTGGCGATCCCAGTGCGCAAACATGATGCGCAGCTGGCGGCTCTGAAGGTACCTCAGATCGGAATTCTTCAATGTGAGGCCCCCCTCATCTCCTCAGGCTTCTCTGGCCCCAGGGGTCCGACCGACACGAGCACCACCCTCCTTCCCTTTCGTTTCCTGGGCACCATTGGCCCGAACAGCACGATATCATTCCCGAGATCCTCTTCTTCTCAGGTATTGTTCGGGTAGCCCGATCCATACCTAGCACCCCATACTCCCCTCGCGTTTTTCTGACCCGAGAGGTCCGAACAGCACAGCCACCTGGGGTTGTTATGTGTCCAGGGGTCCGACCAGCACGATGTTCTACCCCTCCCCTCCTTTCAAGTTAGCCCCTCCTCTTCTATCCTCTCCTCGATCTCCTTCAGGGGTCCGATGTCCCTTTCCTCCACTCGCGAACGCGATGTCTGACACAACCCCTTCCCCAAAGCCCGTTCGGGCAGAGGCTCCAGGCCCCGCGAAACCCCTCGCCGCGATGCCCGACGCCGACCCTTCACAACAACACCCCGACCTCGTTCAATTTGTTGGGGCATCAGGTCCCATCAACACGAGCACCCCCCCTTTCCTTGCATTTTCCTGGCCCCAGCGAATCAACGCGATTGCATGTGTGTTCCTCCTTACGCTTCCTGACCCTAGGAGTCCGAACAAATTTTCGCCCCCCCCCCCCTGCAGTTTGTCTGACGTCCAGGGCTCCGAAATCGCGAACGTCACCCCTTCTCATTGGTTTATCGTGGGCCCCAGGGGTCCGATGAGATGGATTATTTGGGCGGCGGTGTGGGGTGGATCCTCGAGTGATCTCCACCTCGCCCCTATCCTCCTTATCCTTCTCCTCCTCATGGGCGGCTTGATGGCGTCCACCATCGTCTTCGGGGGGAAGCGGCCCTTCTCCAACTTGTATTTCTCGCGCAACACCGAGCCGAACGCGAGCTGCCACGCCGCCTGCGGGGATATGGAGGAGCACGTGCAAAAGGCGAAGGGACAGAGGGATAGAAGAAGCAGAACACGTGGATACATCAGGAGCTACAGACATGCAACTGGGCCTCCACCGATCTTTCCCTCATCGATCCTCCGACCCTTCCCTAGCTCATAGAGCCTCCATCCTCCGATCCGTCCCTCATCGATCCTCCGAGATCCTTCCTTCATCGAGCCTCCTCGTGATCGCATCTAGCGCCTCATCCGATCCTTCCCTCATGGATCGCCGCGCCTCCATCGTGTTCTGGCTGAGGCGCTCTCCGTTGGTGACGGTGTTGATCGCCTCCAGGGTCGGTACGAATGCCTCCCCTTCACGCGTTCCCACGGGCGCGGATCGGGGAACAGAATCGAGACAGTACAGTCGGGGCGTTGACCTAAGGAACCCTAAATAAGGAACGCGGCCCCTGTTTCCCATACGTTCATCCTCGGTTTCCCCTGGAAAGCCTCAGGAAAACCCGACGCAAACTGTGAAACATTCCAGGAACACCGAGCCCCTCCCCAACGAAAAGGATTCATTCTTCAGCGCCCCGACTGTATGAAGATAATGACCTATAGGCAGGGGGCACGGTTGACTACCTATAGCATCTCTTGTGGACCCTTCTCCCGATCGAATCGCTCGACCTTCGTCCGCCTCATGCAGCTCGCTCCTCTCGATCCTCGGGGCAGGATGCACCCCTCCCCTCCTTCAGCGCTGCGTAGCAAGGGCGGTCACCACTCTTCTGGCACGGGTAGCTTCCGAAGTCGGGGATCGTCGGATGTCCTCGCGGCGGTGTGAGGGCGAGGCTCAAGGTTGAGATTCGGTAGGCCTCAGATGGCAGGCGTTTGCGATGAGGAGAGTACGGTTTCAATGGTGATGCAGCTGGGGGCCGATGTGGCGGCAAAGAGGGATGATACAGTCCCCAGAAGAGGCAAACGGAGGAAGCGGACCAGGAGGACGATGGACGAGCAGGATACCGATGCAGACAGGGATCTAAGTCGCGTCGTCGTCTGAACCGACGTCGCCCGAAACGTCGCTACCGTTATCATTGATGAGGAATTGCGTCGCCATGGCAACCACCGTCAGCATCATGATCATTAGTATCGCTGTCGGTGATCACCATCGGCATCATCATCGCCATCGCCATCACCGTTCTCCATCACCCTCATCATCGTAGTATTCGTCGCCATGGTTAGCATCAGCGTCGACGATATCGGCGTCAGTCGTCGAATGCGCGGCGCTAGCTCCTGCCAAGCACAACTGGCCGATCGTGTCCGTCTGGGTATGCAGCGCCTCGGGATGCGGTGCGGAGGTGAGGAACGCGAGAGGCAGATGCATGGGTCCTCATCCTCATCCCTCATCCTCATCCCTCGTCCTCATCCTCGTTCTCATCCTCGTCCCTCCTCGTCCTCATCCTCGTCCTCATCCTCAACCTCGCCCCCCTCCTCATCCTCGTCCTCATCCTCATCTGCATCCTCCTCCTCATCGTCGAGCCCGATCGCCAATCCTGGTCCTCATCCTCATCCTCATCCTTATCCTATCCGTGCTCGTCCGTTCTCCGATCCATGTGCCTCGGGCTGAACTAATCCTAGAAACTCTGCCTATCGGAATTCTCATGTCCTCCTCGAGCTCCTACTCCTGGTCCCCTCCCTACTGCGCCTGCGCGGCGAGCGTTGGTTCGCCCACCCACGTTTTCGGGTTC